TTTCAAATATGTGATTTGGTGCACATATGGGCCCACCAACATACATTTAATCTCTTTCTCTCTCTCCTATTCATAAATATTAAGTATTAGTATTTCATTACTAACTCATGAAGGATAATAAAACAATATTCAATTGCTAAGATAACATATATCTTCTTTTTATAACTTCGTCATAGGTTTATTTCTTTTCACTTAAAGGCCTTGATATAATATATTCCTGGTTAAAGTTCCATACATCACTTTCCCAACGATGACATCAGAGTTTTTACAATCTCCTCCTTGAGACTCTCATCATCCCTGTTCGACTTTGAGAGCTGCAAAGAAACAACATTTATATTAAAAGCTCCCATTATATAGTTTATAGGTAAGCTGAGATATAAAATAATAGAGTAATAATAATAATGATAATAATGATGATAATAATAATAATAATAAAAGAAGTCCTATACAGGTAAGCCTACTTACTATATCTGATTGAGTTCATCTTTTCACTTATAGGTAAACGGATATTTCTTCAAAAAAAATCCTTTAAAACATGTTAGTTTATGAAGCTTCTTAATTAAGCTTCACAAGACTTTTCTGTCTTGCAAATAGATGGTTTTCAATGCAATATGACTTTCAAGCGCAAAGCAAGCCATTGTTATCAGAATATGCACTCTAAATTTGAGACTATACGCTCATAAAAAATATAATAATCAGAATATATGTTCTCTTATTTAAAATATTATATCATGTACAACAATCTTTATGTTCTTTACAGTGCATATAGTTAAATATACAAAAGTTAATCCTGGTTTGACGACTGAAATAAATTATATCAAATGAGATACCTGACCATGAATGTTAAAACTGTACCACAATGGTCTGATGTTACTGTACACTAACTGCATTCATATTTCATGGCTGCTTTTTTAAACTGTTTAATAAGAAAGATTGGAAACATAGTAAGATGGTGGGTGATATGAGAAAGGGTAAGTAATGGAAGAATCACTTATTGTTTAATTTTAGAATTAAATTTTCATTTTGAAATTTGGGGACCACAAGAGGCTCAATTTCATAAGGACAAATTCTAGATGATATTTATGCTATATCTTCATCATTATAATCATTCTAGTCCTCATCATAATAATATGTACTATTTTCTGATATAACTTTATCATATTTAGATATTTCTCATTTATACTCACATTTACTAGGAACACATTCTTGTTGCTTCTTATTTGTTCTACCAAAGGAATTGGTTTTCCTTTCGGAATTGGAATTGTGGTGAGAACTGTGGAGTCAGGTTGAGCAAGAATCCTTTGTACACTTGTTACAAATCCTTGGCTAAACATTTCCATCTTTCCTATTTCATCCAATACTAAGACTTGAGGGGTAGAAGCCTGTAAAAAGATTATGTATATATAGCACAAAATTAAATGTTCCATGCTGATATATTGAAATTAATAGAAATTTTAAAATCACAATGACATACATTTTTTCAATACTCCTTTGGAGTCATCACAAGTTATCAAAATTTCTGAAAGTGTAAAAAACGGTAAGGGAAGGCAATTAAGAAGCCTTATATGTTTTTAAAAATTTCTTAAATGCTCTGTGGAAATCTATACATGAGAATGTTTTAAGGGGAGGTCTGCTTTTCAGATGTTAATGACTATGAATGTCCCCTCATCTATTCTGCTACTTCTTACATGTTTAATGGTGCTACTCAAAGTATTTCCCACAACAGTATCATCTTGTTAATGGGTTCTTATAACAGATCCATTAATATATATTTATATTGAATTATTCTGCTGCCTTCCATCTATTGAGTAACTTCTATAATGACGTATTACTATGAATGAAAAATTCATCAAAGTCTAGTATAGAAATAATGGATTTGAGATAAAAATCAATGTGAAAATTCATCAAGTCTAGTATCGCAATGACTCAGGTCACTACATTGCTTTTGCTGCTCTTCTCTACATGTGCTATGATACAACTGTTGTTCATATTGGATAATGGATAATAGAGTCAAGAATTAAGCCGCATGATGCAAATCTCAACATACTTTTTCTTTGGGGCTTCTTGGACTGCTTTAATATATCACCAGAAATCTGCTGTAAACTTCCACTTACCTGAGTTCGCAGAAGAGGCAGAACAAGGGATTCAAATGCTGGGACGTCGACCACATACTGACCAACTCTGCACTCCCTTCTGTTGCCATCTTGTGTTCTGTAAATTAGCTGTATCACTCTTCTGCATGCTAAACAGATTGACAAAATACAACTCTTTACGTAAACCTGTGTGTAAAATGTTTTTACACACATTACAAAACCATAAAGATGTGCCTTCACGACACAATTTATGCTAACATTAATGTATGGTATGTGCCAAAGAAGAAAAAGTTGTACAACATGTTCTAGGATGTGACTTCAGAGATATATAATGTTATGGAAATTAGAGAAACAGAAACCATAAAAAGTCATTTTCTTGATAAAATGTTAAGTGGAGAACTTAGCCAACACTCACATTCAAAGGACTGTAACCAGTACAGTATGCAAACAATGCTATTGCCATGGTGAAGGTACATTGCTTGACTTAATAAGTGAAAGTTAGCCATCTACGGGGATTGCTTGAGAAAGCAAAAAAAAATCTTGAAATAGCAAGAAAATTCTTGACATTTTGGGCAAGAAATTTCCCTGCTTAAAAACCCTATGATCCCTTGAGAATGTGAAGAATAACACATCAATAGGTACATCTCTATATTTTTATAAGTACTCACCAAAAATACAGCTGATATCTTAATAATACAAATGGAGTTACAAGAAATGGTTAAGTTTTGAATAGTAGCCACTTCAGATGCAGAGAAACTGACTGAATGACACATGCAAACATAATAAATTCTTCAATGTATTATTCTTTCATTACCATATATTCTATAAACAAATGAAGATATTCTAATATTATGAAAGAATAAGACCAATGTAATATTCAACAAAACTTCTCAAGAAAAGAACATGAAATCTGAAGTTACCCCAAGAAATATCACAGACTTAATCAAATGTTGCCTAAATACAGTAATTACATATAAAAATTTTGTACTTCGATTTTGTAGGAGTCTAAAACCTGATGTTCCTTGTATTGAATTTACAAGCCTTCTTTTTTTTAACTGAGTGTACAATAACATTCTCTTTGTATTTCATTCAAAACTTACTTGACCCTGGAAAGTATCCCATTCTTGCCGTCAAGGGTCACCACATCAAAACCAATCCTTTTGCCTCCTTGTCGCACTTCCTGGGTATAGAATCCATTACAAGGTACACCAGCATCTTTCAAGTTATTCACTAACTTTTGCACTAATGTTGTTTTTCCAACACCTGTAACAGAAGAAAAATACTCAAATACTCACTCTTATATAATCTTTCCATTTTACGTATATGATCTACTGCACAGATACAAGTGTCTGACTCTTCTTATCCATAATTAACTCTTTAGGATATTCAAAAAAATATATAGTATAAGTATATGTTAACACATGCATATGATAGTTAGCAATGCATATAACACAAAGAAACAATCAATCATATAATACATTACTGTATTATGAGTCATGAGAGTTACATTCTATCTATCTTATGCTTTGAAGGCTCAAGACCTATATATCTGATTACTCTTCAGCCTACATTACCTTTTGAAATCTCTGACAGTTTTCGAAGATCAAAGTATACCAGCATTTATACCTATCTTACTTAACTCTTTTTAGGTATGCTGAACTATGGGTTAAGATGCACGAGTACTGATTCCATATTCCAGTACATTGGACCTTCTATATCTCTATGGTAAGCTATCATTGAAAAGGGGAAAAAATACAAGCACTATCTTGCCACTATATTTAGGGGTGGGGAGGGGGAAGGGGTTAATGGCCTTTGCTTGAGCACAAAAAGTCATGGCAATTGCGTGATGCACTCCCTTTTGAGAATCACCCTTTGTTATCTAATTATTTCATTAATCTATTCACTATTATTATAACTATCTACTATTATGGAGAAATTACCACTTTCATTGGCATAACTATAAACTACTAAAACGTATGCAAATTCTATTCTAGCTACATTATCTTGAATATTAGACTTATTGTGCGTACATGCTTATAAAAAAACAACAACGAAAGAGAAAGTCAGCAAACTTAAATGTAAAAAATTATTCAAATACATATTAATAAGAAGCTTGTGTAATCGGCATGTTTTGGTTATGAACAATACTACAAGATATTCAAGAAAAACGTAAGAATCAACAAGGATCATGCACTTTTCATGATTGATGAAACTCCTAGAATCAATATTTCTGGTTATTAATGCATGACAATTAATAATATTACCAGGAGGTCCCGTTATAGCCACGTGCTTGTATGACATTATGTTCCTGCCAAAGCTGCAGTCTTCATTAATGTCAAAGAAAATGACAGACGACTGATGGTAAACTATTTTATTTCCGAAATATAGTTAGTTGGGCTTCATATTACATTAAGAATGGGTGATTATGGTAAATGCTATCATCATAATTTTTCTTTTATTAATATCAGTTCGATTGGCATTATTGTCTTTTAATCTTAATTACTATTTTCATCATTCATATCATAATGATACTTACATTTGAAAGGAAACTTCGTAAAAAAAATGAGGAGATGCTTTATTTATACTAAGGTTCTATGTATATAACTTTATTGATTCCCAAACAAAAGTTAACAAAGAAATCTATATATGTATTCAGAACTTAGCAAAAATTATAATAATCATCCGGCATGACTTAATAAGACGAACCTACATCTTATTCTCCAACTTTCTTAAATTTACATGTCTCCTACTTTATTTGCACATCATGTATCTGTTTCTCTTCCTCTTTTATATTATCTAATTCTCATGTTATCTCTGATCTACTTATAGTCGGGTCGCCTCCAATAACACTACGGGAGACGTGAGCTGATAGGCCTTCACGTGGGTTTGTATATCTCACTAAACATTAGGTAATTCAGTTGTTAATTAAGGAATGTGGTGTTTGTTGGGACATCGGGGAGTCATAGGAGAGTCGGGTTTTGCTTTTGATACTATTTGATTGTGAAGGTTTAGCCGATAAGTAATAGTGATATGCAGAACACTAATGTGACATGTTATAATACGTAGAATTTTGTGTTTATGCCGGAATGGTTCGCCGGTATCAGTAGGTGATGAACCAGCTGTACCTAGGTTTGTATCGTTATGTCATTTCATAAAGGTTTTATGAGCCAACTCCGCCACTACCTCGTACTGCATATTATCCAAATAGGTCATGTCTTACTGACTATACATGGAGGTGGTTTGTACATGGAGGTGGTTTGTTGACCTTTGTCAGAGCAGAGACCAAAGCGTTGCATCATGTGATCCAGTTAAGTTTTTTTTTTTTTTTTTTCATAATATATGTCATCCTTAATTTGTGAAATCCAATTTATGATGTATTGAATAATTTTGGTCCTTTTATAAGGCAGTGTCATCAACATCTTGTTATATATAATTACAAAGTAATATTTTGGCACCAAGTTGATTAAAGAACCAAAGTTGACATTGCAGAGAGCCTATTATGTAGAAGAGAGCATTTGATATAATCTCTTCCTTTTAATATGCATGGTATGCTTTATGATTACAAATGTGATTTACATTTCATTGTAAATGTTAGCATTGGAAAAACATCAGTAGGTGCAAGTTACTGAGAGCAATGCATGGTATGCTTTATGATTACAAATGTGATTTACATTTCATTTCATGCACAGAGAAGGGGAAATAGACCGCTCTTATAGAACATGAGAAATATAGCAAAACACAATGTCGGTATAGTTGCAGTGGCTTCATATTTACAGCAAAATGACAAAAATATTTGCTCCCTATCACCAGTCAGAGATGAAGACCACAACACCCTTACACTACCAGAGTTCTTAATGTCCATTTTCTGTTAGTTGGCACAATAAAGAGAGGGTACAAGGGGGCTTGCCTCTTAGTCTAGGGAATGAATAGAAGGTAGGAAAAGTTACGTTGAGTGCTTGGGTTCACAGGACACCCTAGTTTTGGGACTTAGTCTCTGAAGGGTGCATCGCACCTGATAACAGTTAATCATCGAAAAAATAGAAAATGCTATATTATGAAGACTAATATCACGTAATTGCCTTTCAGGTGCATTTATTTTTTAAACAATGTCGGCGTTGTTTCGTAAAGTATCACAAGTTGCTGTCATAGGAACAGCTACAAGTATAGGCTGGCTCCTAGGCTATAATAGATCACATGAGAAAGGGGGGGCCAACTTCCCAGCCATTGAGACAGTCTCAGCAGCAAGTTATCAAGGTAGCATTGTTAACACACAAGTACCAGATGTTGTTCCTGTGCCTTCTCCAAATGCGCCACGAATAGCACAGGTAACTCTTAGTAATATTTGTAATAAAAGTATTTAAAGTTCTTAGAATAATCATAGAATTTTTATTTTTCTGTATATGGAATTTCATTATGCTTTTCATTAATTTTACAGCTTAATATATGATTTTTACATTATGAATTGAATAAGTGAATAAGTTTTGAATTCATCATTGTCCTTTTAGTGTATATAACTACAGCTTTTTTTTCAGATCATGCGATTTGGTTTTCCAAGTTTATCAAATGTAAGATCATTGAATGACTATGTTTTGTCATACGATACAAGAAATCGCATCCCATACTGGGTCTGTGAACACCTGACAGCAGAAAATGTAGCCAAAAATCCTAATGTTGACCGAGCCAAGTGTGACTTTCATGAAGATACTTCAGTTCATCAGTACTTCAGGTAAGCTACACACAGAGATTGAGTGAGTGAGTGAGTGAGTGAGTAGGCCTAAGTAAGTTGGAATAGGAATGGGGTATGGGAGATGGGAATTGGAGCAGTGAGATTGGGAAGGAGAGGTCAGGAGAGAAGGAAAGGGAACAGGGGTTGGAGAAAGGAATGGTGAAGGTGAGAGAGCAGAAGAGGGAGAAAGGGCATTAGAAGGAATGACAGTATGGAAAGGAAAGGGGCCAATTGCAGGAGAGAGGGCAGAAGGAGTGAGGGCAAGAGAAAGAGACAGGGTAGAAGAAGAAGAGAGGGCAGGAAAAAGAGAGAGGGAATGTGGAAGAGTTCAGGAAGGTAAGAGAAGGAGGAAGAGGGGGAATGAGAGAGAGGGTAGGAGAGGGAGAGAGGGCAAAAGAAAAAGAGGGATCAATAGTAGAAGAAGGGGAGCATGAGGAAGAGAGTAAGAGGAGCAGAAAGGGGTAAAGGGGACAAGTGAGGGAGAGAGGGCAAGAAAGAAGCAGAAGAAGAAAGAAAAAGGAGGAAAGAGGGGAGAAAAGAGAGGGCATTGGAGGAAAAAGGAAAGGGGAAAGCGAGGGAAATTATATGATTTTGTATCAGTTATACATTGAGTGTACATTTCTCAGCTGTAACCAATTGATAAAGCTTTTATATATGTACTCAGCAGTCTGACCCATTTTTTCTAATTTCACTATCTCTTCCTTTTATAAGATCAGAAAATCGTGATTACAAAGGGAGTGGTTTTGATCGAGGACATTTAGCTGCAGCTGGTAACCATCGCCGATCTCAGGAGGATTGCCATGAAACCTTCCTCCTTTCTAATATGTCACCACAGGTAAGATGACTGCATACTGATTTTTGAACGGGTTACTCTCCTAACTTTGTTGCTACAGAAAGGGGGTTATTGCAGGGACAAAAGACTGAGTGATTGCAGCATTCTGTACTTTAAGTAATTCTTCCAGATGGATTCTTCAGGTGATGTGTTATCCACTAGTGATAGAACTGATCTAGGTACCTTCTACCCCCCTGTCCTTACTGATGTGAGAAAGATGAAAGCACAGGTAAAGTGAGCAGGATATGTAGGAACTTTGGTATTTGTAGAGATGTTATAACCCAAGGATGAAAAAAGAAAGAAGGTAATACTGCTCCCATACTTAAACAAAAAAAAGGTATAGACATGGTTTCATATGCACTAGCAGGAACATGAGTTTTACTGTAAAGCATTATTGGGAGGAAGCATGATTCTTTTTTGTTCTTTTGGCAAATATAAGGAATGGTAGAAATAAATGTTAGTAGTCTTGTATTTGTTTATCAGTGTTGTATTTCAAATAAGTAATAAGTTATTTGACTTCATAGATCTGTATTATAGAAGATTTATACAGATATTTTACTCTCTATCCCTGTATGCAGTTAAGGCTATAGAGCAGCTTAGCGGAAAAGAAGAGAAAAAAAAAATGTGCTCTCAACACTTCCCTTTAGGAGCCAGGTTGAATAAAAGGTTCTGGAACTTGAATCATTACGTATTCCTCATCTGCATCTTTTCACAAATGTGTTTTAGTATAACTGAGTACAGTATTATGAGAGCCTTTGGGGCAAAGGTTTTGTGATTATCAAGGGCATGAAGAATAACGTCTTAAGAAATGGTTGTTAAAAAAAAAAAGTTGCAGTAATTAGGTGAAAATGAAGAGGTCAACAGGTTGGACTTTTAAAAATTTTCCCATCATATTATTGGTCTATGCCATGTTCTCAGATTTTTTGGCATTTTCTTCAGAATAGATAAAAAGCCTTCATTTTTTTTTTTATCTTCCCACTTGACAACATTAAACGTATTTTTCTGTTTATGCTAAAATAATTATTTATTACCATTCATTCATTCCTAAACGATGCCACCTCTGTCACCGATGATTAGATCAGGGATTGCACTGTAGGCACCTTAGAACAGAATAGTCTTCTAACATCTGTTTATTTTTTTCAATAAACACTTCAAGGGTATTGGTTTTGCAAGAATTATGGAAGAACAGGGATTAAAAAAAGCCAAAAGAATTGAAATTACTTAGAAAAAAGTTGGATATTGTTGGTTTGTCAACATTGCAGAAACTGCTAATATATAACAAAGTTCAAATATACATCTTCATACACAATGGTAAATTAACACATTTCAGTCTTTTATAAGGATGACTATTTCAGCAAGATATTTCAAATTTGGGTGTTCTTAATAATTTTTCATCTTATAGATCACTTGTCCTTATTTTATTCTCTTTATTAAGCATACATAGATAAAGCAATTGCCTTATTTTATCCTTGAGGGGTTAAGACTTCATTAAAAGAATACAAGATTTGTAAGTTATTCTTTTCAGATTTTCTTTCCAAAGCCTATAGTTTACTGCTTTACAAGTGTCAGTTTTCAGTACTAACCAATGTTTTCTTGTTAGACCTATCTTTAGATATGCTTATTGCCTTTTTTCAGTTTTCCAATAAGATAATTTACATGAAGTAGATATATAGAATGTGTGCAGCTGTTCATAATAATACTATTAATATATATGATATTGTGTTTACTTAACTTGTGCATTAATACACTATGTTCCAAGATGATATTTTGCATTAAGTATAAAGGTTCTCTGCAGGTAGGAAGAGGATTTAACCGGGACAAGTGGAATGATGTGGAGCAGTATTGTCGACAGTTGACAAAGAGTTATGCCAATGTTTATGTATGTACTGGACCTCTGTTCTTGCCAAGGTAGGTTATCTATTGAATTGCTTTAGATTTTCAGTTTTCTTGTGGATCATTTTGGCAAAATTAATCTATGTAAGAGTTGGCAGATGTTATATTTGTGAATGTTGTGTCTAGATTTTTTAATGTTGTGTAAGTTTAATTTGTCACAATTTAATTTCTCTAGTGGCATACAACTTAATTGAGAGAGAGACTTCTGAGTGTTTTCTTTGTAGGATACTTTCACAATATATATACTTAATTTCATTTCAAAATTTGTGAATTAATGACCTCACTTGCAGAAAATGAAACCTTTTTGTTTCATATTCACTTACTTTTTTATAACAAATTGAAGTATGCTGTAGCTGTTACTTTTGCAAAATATAAAAGCTTTTATTTTGATATTTGTTTTGGAAGAGAACATTGTAATAATTGTAATTCCTTTATAGACGTGAAGAAGATGGCAAACTTTATGTCAAGTATCAAGTGATTGGCCAGAATCATGTTTCAGTCCCAACCCACTTCTATAAGGTAAAACTGTATATACTTTTAAGTCCCATCTTTTGTCTTTACAGTATCATGGCCTATACATTTTTATGCACTTTCACCCTCTTTTTGGGCAGGAAGTTCCCAGCTTATGTTTGCTAAATGGCATAGAAATTATTATAGAAAGTAGTAGTGGTGGATAGTTTCACAATAATTTTTACTTGTGATATGATGGCCAATCCTGGTATTCTAGAGAAAAAGAATATATTCATATTTTTGATGATAGCTGTAACTATTCCAATAATTTAAAGTTAGAGATAGGTTCCTCTTACAGTATTTTGTATATGCAATTATATGTGTATATTTATAAATGATATTCAAAAAATTTATGATTTAAATACAGTTGCTTATATTTGTATATTTTGAAGGACAACTCGTAATATTCCCATGGTTTTAAGTCTTTTTCAGTACTTGTTTATATATTGTAATCAAGTATATATATGTAGTCTATATCTAAAATTTGTTTTAAAAGCAACTATCTAAATTTTTGTATCATTCTCTACAGATTATGAATCCATGCACTTGTCTGAAAAAAAAATGTATGATTCTTCCTTCAAGCACTTTTTCCTTTAATTTTTAGGTAGTTGTTTGTGAAAGCAGTACTGGAGAACTGGACCTGGAGAGCTTCCTGTTACCAAACGTGGAGATTGATGATAGTGTACCTATTGCATCATTCCATGTAAGCAGAGTAAAATTTTCTTTGTTATCACCTGGTTAATAGTAAGATCATTAACCCATTGGATCTGGTTGTGTCACGGAAATCACAGTCCCGAATATATGGGCAGTGGGTTATGTAAACAGCCATCATCTTGAACTTGTGGTGCATGGGCCGGGCGCACGCGATCACACATGAGCGCTGACAAAACTGTGCTTCCCCTTTGCAAAGTTATTTTGTGTAAACTTTTTTAGCTTTTTGCCATTTCCCAATGTCCATATTTGTCTTTTAATTTGCTTTATCTAGATGGTAATAGCTTATTTTCCTTGCACAGACTTCATATCACCTCTCTATGTAGTAAAAAAAGAAACATGGAAAATTTGGTTATTTTTGTTACATATCTCATTTTTTCATAATCTTTAATTTTTTGTAATGCAACCTGCACTGCCAGTCACATCGGTAAGGAATACAGTGCACAGCATGGAAATAGTGTCCTTCCTGGAGCTAGCACTCTTCTAGTCACAGCTTCTGCACATTACCTTCCACATTCGTATGTTGATGGGAATAATGCTAAAGCCCCCTTCTAAGCGCCAAATGAGTCAAATCACACTCCAAGAGGTTTGTGCACTCGTGGTGAGGCTTTTCCGTCACCCATTTTCCCAGATGAAGGCATGTTCATATCACCCTGCCCTCGACCTAGATTTTTCTATGCATATATTTTATGCAGTTCAGTTTCAGTTGGTTTTCTATGACGGACCATAACGTCATCCGGATCTTAGGGATTAATAGCACTGGGGATTTGTATGCATATATTTTATGCAGTTCAGTTTCAGTTGGGTTTGCCTTTGAATATGAATAATATATAATTTTCATTGCTTCAAACGATATTTGCAGTTTGCAAGTTAATACTCTTGTCATTCATTTGAGCATGGGAATCGAATGTGCATTTTGTTCAGAAAAATAGTAAGAAACGTGAAGAGGAATAAATGATTTTTAGTATCATTTATCGTTAAATGTTATTTTCTTTACCTTTTCCAGGTCCCACTAGAAACTATTGAAAGAGCATCAGGCCTCCTTATTTTTGATAAACTCAGTCAAAAGAAATTCAAGAAAATTAATGGTCAGAAGGTTGGATGGTTTTAAGACAAGACGTTGATAATGACTCCTTTGGCAGTGTGTATTTTTTTGTGAAATTTATTGAATGTTATTTGATGATGTAGAATTCAAATTGATGTTATGAAGATATTATCTAAAGATGTACAAAATATTAGTAATTTTAAAAATTTGTTGCTAAATAAAGTCAAACTTGTTAATGCTACTTTCCTTACGAAAAAATGTTCTCAGCGTAATGACCAGTTTGTTTTATATTTAAAAACAAGTGCTACATAATCGCCTGTATAAAATTCTTTTGAAATTGTTAATTAGATTTTTGATGGTTTACAGATCATTATTAATATTTTAACTGATGATATTATTGCTATTAAAGATATTAAATGTATAATTAGAAAAATGGAAGAGAATTGTCATTTAAGTTTTTGTCGCAGTTGTTATAGTCATGTATTATATATCCTTTTTTCTGTTCTTCCTTTTACATAATATAATTTTACCTGCACATTTGTAAATAGTGTAAATATTGTTACTATGTTTTCCAGTAATAAAAAGTGAATGTTTTTTCTTAGTATTATACATAGTCCTGAAATATGTGAATCTACATTGCTATCTTTTTATTTTATTTGAAATTTGAATGATTTACTTTTTGAGTGGTTGAAATATGTGTGAAGGTAACTTTTCATATTTTATTTGCAATGACTTCATATATTATGAAATAAACAAATTTGATAAATATCTGCTTGTGTGTAAAGCCTTGAATGTGCTGCTTTGTACAATAAACTATATCTTTAATGCATAAGGCACACTAATTGTAAAGACAGCTTGGCAAAAGAAAACTGAACGCTCTAGTCCAAAGAGATAAGAAAATCAAAGTAAAAAAATCACAAACGCTTTTCTGGTTCTAGTCTCTCTCTAACATGGCAATGGCAGATCACGTGGGAAGACCTCTGCTTTAGTGTGATGAAGTGTGATTCCACAAAATGACAGTATATGATGCACAGAAATATGTGAATAATTGTAAACATGGTTGTACTAAAAAAAAAAAAAAATGTCTGCAGAATTTTAACTTAAGTTTTGGTATTTTTTCTATTTTTCCTGTCTCAGTCATAAATATCAAGATATCCAACTTACAATACTGATAAGGTTCACAGCATTTATCAACATATAAGGACTGCAATCTGCTCCAAAATGCTAGGAAAATAATTCTGGAATGCTAACTACAGGATTTACATGTGTGTGTGTGTGTGTGTGTGTGTGTGTGTGTGTGTGTGTGTGTGTGTGTGTGTGTGTGTGTGTGTGTGTGTGTGTGTGTGTGTGTGTGTGTGTGTGTGTGTGTGTGTGTGTGTGTGTGTGTGTGTGTGTGTGTGTGTGTGTGATATATTCATAGATACATATAATCTTCCGTGGAACTGGGGCTCATAGCAGCATCCAGCTTTCGCTGAACGGCAATCGTTCATGGCGAGCCGTTAAGTAGATCCTCGGCTCCGTCTTTAGTTCCTCACGACGTCTGGTCAAACTGCCCAAGCCACGACTTCACGAAAGATTGTTTCGTGAAGAGAACCTGATGGGCAGGGTCATCTGCAGGAAAACAAGCTAGGTGCACGTATATCCATAGTTGGCAGTCACGAATTGTGCAAGTAACAGGTCCCATGTAGCGTTGCCGATGTATATAAGTTTCTTGCCGATGTATACAAGTTTCGTCTGCTATACGAACCAAAAAGGCGCACGAAGTAAACAATGCGAACTTGCGGAACACACTTCGCAGCTCTTGCGAACCAAAAGTTTGCCTGATCGGTATTTTACCTTTTACGGTTAATGTCGAAAATGAAATGCCATAACTGTTTGATTTTATTTCTTTATAAATCTTTTTCTATAGTATACCATAAACGTGTGTAACACATATTTCATCAGTGCTGCATGACCTTTGATGTATCACTATATGTTAAATACGCCGTTAGGGACTTAAGATGCAGACACGGCAGTAAATTTTCAGTAAATAACAAAATAGAAGCTGGGCCCATGGGAAGTACATAGTCATCACCTGGAAATCGATGATAGGTTTTATTTACAAATTTACCGATATTTATTTGCAATTACACCACTGCCATATTTTTTTTCGTAAGTTAACCCAAAATTGTTAGTCTCACGGTGTAGCCATCGGTTGGATAGAAGGTTTTTCCAATTGTACCTTACGGTCCGGTGTAGGGCAAAAGGCATCGAGCCGCGACTCCAAGGCACTAGATAGCGTCCTGTTTTCGCTTCTATAGAGCGAAACTGGCAGTATCAAAGTCTTGGTAACATAATCCTGCATAGGTTCCGGTACCTCCAAATACTGTTATTGAGTAAGTTCATGGCTCCTGCTGCCAGACCAATCCGTCTGCTGACTTCTTGGTCTTACAGACCAGAGACATGGGGTGCACTACCAACGTATGTAAAGCTCACTGTGACTTCAACGTTCTCGCCCCAAGCATGTATCCTGAATCTTGGTCTTGGTCCAGGAGATCTCTAAACCCAGGGGTTTCGTCTCATTGCTGAATGCATCAAGAGCCGCCACCAGAAATTCCAGAGACTTAAGAGTGCATAGCAACATTCTCGGCAGAGGACCGTAACTTTGACATTGCTCAGTATTGCTCCACAGTGACTTTGGATAATAGCTCTGCCTATAAGGATACAGCCTTGCCTCACTCCTCAGCTAACAGGAAAAAAGTTCGACAGACCTGAACCACACTTTACAGCACTTTCAGTATCAGTACATAGGCTAGCTGTCAAACCAATAATCCGTGACGAAATTCCCCTATGTCTCAGGATCTCCCATAGCGATTCACGATGCACCGAGCCAAATTCCTTCTTGAGGTCGATGTAGGCTACAGCCAGCCCATGGCCAAAATCCTGACGGCATTCCAGAGACTCCAAGTACTTGGATAGTCTCTTGCGGACTTAACAGGAGTGAATCCAGACTGCTCCGGTCTTTGTAGGTGGTTGCAGATCCGTTTCAGAAGAATGTGGGCGGAAACCTTGCTTAGTATGCTAAGTAGTTTGATGTCACGCTAGTTGTTACAGTCCCAACGATTCCCTTTCCCTTTCTAGAGAGGGATCACCACACCTTTCAACAGATCCGGGGGAATGGAACTGGACTGCCAGATAGCAGCCAGAACAGTATTCAAGAACCCCCAACCTTTAGCAATTCAGCAGGGATATTGCATATCCTTGCAGCTTTCTCATCCTTCAGCTTAGAGATCACCTCCCTCACCTCTGTCAGGGTAGGAGGTCCCCCACTGATGGGTGGGTCCGGCACAAGGATTGACACCGCTTTTGTCCACACTAACTGCTTGAGGGTACATTTGCTCATAATACTCAGCCCAGTGTTCACGAACCTCAACATGATCTAAGATGATCTGTCCGTCTACTGAGTGGACTGCAGTCATCTGGAAGGAGGGCTTGGGTCTCAGTTTTCTGAGGGCTTGGTAGCCAGGACAAAGATAATTTACTGAGAAATGTCCTTCAGCCTATTCAGCAAGGTTCCTGTTGGACTGGTCCCTTCTCAGTAGTGACCGAGCCCTGCGCACCAAGAAATGGCGCAAATCCCAATTCCTATTCAGGTGAGCCATACGACACACATCTGTGGCATCCAGTGTCTCCAGTGAGATGAAATTCTGCCTTGTCCTTAGGCATTCGCCAATGGACTCTTGCACTGTATAAAGTGTTTCATGCTTAAAGGGATCCCATTGAGCTGCAGGGTCATCAGGTTTTCAAGCACTGTAAGCCAATCAGAGTTTGATGCAGCGAACCTCTGTACACACTCTTCTTCCCTTAGTCTGTGCATGTGAAACACCTTGGATGACTTTTGGAGAGATGGAGGTTTTGAAGGGTCGCTACAACCAATCTATGGTCAGTACCACAGAACTCGGATCACCAGCAAGCGGTAACAAATATGAGGTTGATCTCCTGGGCCACAGTACCCTTATCGTTATACCAAGTCCAGCGATATGGATGTGAAAGCTGATGCTAGGAGCCAGAATTCCTCAATCTCTGGGACCATGCAAAGTCCCGGAAAAGGAGGCTATTCTTGCTACTGAGATCAGCTCCTGAACCATGGGTACCGACAGACATCTCGTAGCCAGCTCAATCACAGTGTTGGAGTTGCCCAGTATAGAAATGCGAATGTCTCGCTAGGGGCATTTGTCTGCCACAAATGTGAATTTGGCATAAAACGCCTCTTTTTCATTGAGCTTGCAAACATTGGTAGGAATGTACATAACAATAAGAAACACAAATCTAAAAGCATGCTTCAGTCTCAGTGTCATAGTACACTTATCCCCCGGAGAAACCTCTACTAAGGTTGAAGTCAGCTGGAGATGGCTATGGCTTCTCCCTAGACATGGTGACCATCTCCCCGGCGTGACCAATAATAGGTGTACCCACCCATACTGATTGTGCCGCTACCACGTCTTCTTATCCCTGAGAGGCAGCCGCCACAACTCCCAATCACTTCAGTCCCTCAATAGCAGGGCTAATCGTTCATCTTGCAGCAAAAACCGGATGTTACAAGATCCCACCTGGATAGGCTGCCAGAGGTTAAGCCTCGGCAGTCGCTCCGGATGGACGCCACCTCTGCCACCCCTGCCGACGGTGCCACATATAAAGTGCGGCAAGCTGTGGGGCCCAACGCCCGCATATGGGATTCCCTTGAGCTTTGCCTCACAGGCCTTGCATTGAGTTGGTGGCTCCCGAGGCGCTGACATGACGGGGTTGTATGTGGTACAGAACCAGGGTGATCGGTTATGTAAAGGTATTCTGAACTACCTGATTCCCCCTAACGGCCGTAAATTCATGCAAGATAGCACACCGTGCCATAAAGCCCAAGGCAAGATGGAACTTCAGTATGTTGTTTCTAGTCAAGAAATAACCCGGATATGAATCCCAGTGAAGAACTAATGAATATCTTTTTTAAAATGAGATCAGTAAAATAGAAGAAAAAGAATAATATGAATAACACATTGAAAATACGCCAAGGAAGACTGCACCAGTGATTTCAGCAAATGAAAGACATCGACATTGTAAAATACTGATTCATTTAATCGGATTTAGTAGAAAGATAACTCCAAGCTTTGATGGGCGAATCAACTCGATTTACACACGCACACACACATATGTGTGTGTGTGTGTTATCAAATCAAAGTAAATTAAAATAGTGTTTTCTATGTTTACATGTCATATATGTGTACATATTCTATATGTGGTCAAGTGTGCTCTCTATGATCTAAAGAGGAAGTGAAAGAACATATGTAAAATAGGCTCAACAAGTGTGTTAAATCAACGCATTACAGAGCCATCTTTATTCATAATATGAACGGATTGATTATTCCAATACAATGCTTATACGCATGTACTTCAGTTTTACCAGAATAAAAATCTACACTTTTTTTTTTTTTTTTTTTTTTTAAAGAAGGAAGAGAGAGAGAGAGAAAAAAAAATAGAATAAGAGGAAGCAGAATAAAAAGAAGTAAAAAAGGAATCATGGCAACTCTCGGGAAAAAAATAAGTTATGTTAAATTGCACAGCGTCGTTTAGTGGGAATTGGTTTCTCGTCCCTGTGATGTTGTGTCGACGGCTGCCGCTTTTTTTCTCTTTTCTCTCTCTCATCGTGGTTTTGACGG